AATTAAATTACATAGTAATCATTTTTTGAATTAGTTTTTTTACTATTTATCTTTTTTAATACTAACTAAAATAGAGTTGCATAACATAATAACTAATTATATAGTTTTAATCTGAATTACATATCCTAAAATTTAAGCAATGAATTAGTTATGTAAAATACTAAAACTAACTGGTTTTGACTTATTATATAATGTGTTATATAGTAAGTCAAAACCACTTTAATCTAGATTTATTTTATACTTGTTAATAGCATTTTAAATTTTACTATTTTTAACATTTTGTATACAGGTTGCCAATGTTTTAAATAAGTTAAATCGTGGAATTCCCACACCATGTGCTAATTATTTGTGTTCAAAGATGTTCTCTGGTACCTTTACTGACTGCAAGTTATATTTGAAGCACTCAATAAACTGCACTCCATTTTTATGTCATAGGTGTAACGGTGAATATTCATCTAGAAATATCCTTATTGGACATCAAAAGATGTGTATCGGTATTAATAAGTTAAACAAGGTAATATTAATGTAAATCAGTTAAATTATTTTAGTTTAATGTTAATGAAAAAGTATTAATTTAATTGGTTTGACTTAAATTTTAGCAAAATCATTATTTTTATAAATAAGAGCTGAATAATAACAAAAAATGTCAACTTGTTTACTAATTTCAATCTTATTCAGATTGTTTTTGAATCATATACAAATTATAAAAAAAAAAAGTGCTATGAAAGATTTCAACCCACACAAATTTGAATTTTATAAAGATTAGTTCGTAATTAGTTCATAGTTGTCTTATTACTGACTATTTTAAAAAACATTATTTCTTCATTTTAAAATTCTAGTTTCTTTTTTTGCCCAATATTTTTATGTTTGCAGTATTAATATTTTGTATTGGGTATAAAGAATCTCTATAAATGCTTGACTTAAGTTCAATTAACTATTAAAAAGTGGATAAAATAAAGTACAAATGAGACAATTTTTTATTTTATCCCGCATAATTTTTTATTTTATCCCGCATAATTTTTTATTTTATTCTGCATAATTTTTATTTATCCTGCATAATTTATGCGGGACTTACTTCAATTTAAATTTATGCAGTATAAGTTCAAATTAAACAATGATTTATTTCTTTTTGAAATTTATGTGGTATAAGTTCAAATTAAAAATGATTAATTTCTATTTGAAAGCTAAATCCAGCATGTTTTTTTTTTTTTAAATTCCAGTTGACCTTTATCATATTATCGGCTTAATCGTACTCTGGTTAAGACGAACCATTTAGTTTTTTCGCCAACTCATTTAGTTTTTTTAGGGTTTATTTGACAAAAAACTTCGTCTAACTAGAACTTTTACTTTGAATTGCATATAAGTCCATGTAATAAAATATCAAAACTTGCAACACTTCAATGAAAATTCTAAAATTAAATTTTAAAAAATTAATATATAAAATTAATATGTAGCGTAATATTTATAAATATCTAGCCTAATATTTATAAATATCTTATAAATAAATATCTAGTGTAAAAAGTTTATTAAACTAAAACTTTACTTTTAAGCTTTTATTTTGTACAGGTTCGATCATGTTGTATTAATTAATGACTTATTATATTTTAGTATTATAATCAAATATATTATATTTAAAATTCAAAAACATCAAAGCGTTGAAATATCAAATATTTTTTGTCAAATATAAGTTAATAAACTAAATATGTCAACTGGTATCTTCGAATTGGTTATACTAAAGTCTGTTTGTTGAAAATGTTAAATGCAAAAATTGAATGCAACTTAAAATTAAAAAAAAAAAAAGATTCAATAAACAACAGGTATAACAAATATATTTGTTATATAACTTTGAATTGAAACTTTTGGAAGCATGCTCACAAACAACAAAAGAAAAAGTATAACATTACTAGTTTTATAAACACATTTCTCAAAATTACGTCAGTATTAAAGTTATTTATAAATTATTTTTGTATAAAAATATATATACTCACCCTATTATATCCTATATTAGTATATAGTCTATTTATTAAGTATATAATCAAGTATATAAAATATTAATGATTTGATAATATTTAAATGGTGCATTCAGTTTAAATTAGAAAGCAGTTTTCTGTTTTGTACAAACTGAAAATGACTGAAAAGTTATGAAATCATTACTGCTAACAGATAGAATGGAATGTTCAATAGAAAATTTAAATTAAACAAATAAAACTTGATTGAAATTTGGAAAATCAAAAGTTTTAATACACAAGAAAGTAAAATTCTTTTGCTTTATTTTTTGGCTTGCGCATAATTTGGTGCGAACGGACGTGTTTTTTATTAAGAAATTTACTTCAGCAAAAAAAAAAAAAGATTTTAATCTCGATGTATTTAAACTTTATGCTATATGGCGCCAAGAGAAATTGGTGAGTTGTTTTTAACAATACAGTCAAGTAACAATATTTTAGAGAACTATATTATAAATGTAGAGGAAATCTGCTCACATCCAAGGGATGTAATCATCTATGGGTTTTCTCAATTTAAGGAGGCGGAAGTTTTCAAATTAAGAGTGGAATTATTTCAAGAAATATTGGAACGTTTTGACATAGAGCAGTTCTCACTGCTAAACATTATTCTAGACGCGGAAGATCCCGTTAAAAAAAATCTGAGAAAACGGTATAAGATATTAACATGTCTTGATGATATTTATCTGATGTCGATTTCTTTAGCGGAAAATCAACTTCATAAAGACTTTATTAAATTGATTTCTAACTCCAAACAAGCTAGTCAACAAATGTATCAACCGCCAGATATAAATATGGCATTGATTTTAAAAGAAGTTATTGATCGGTTAAAAGCATTACAATTAGAAAATAAAAAAATTATGGCAGATTTGCATTTATTACAGGTAAAATACGACGAACTACAAAAAACAAATAACGAAATCGTGAAAAATCAATGTGCGTCACAATTTAACAACACAAGTAATTGTGAACCTCATAAATCGCAAGAAAATATAAAATCTATTGTTTCAAATTCAATAAAATATCATTCCCCAAATCAAAGAAATACGCTGGAAGAAGTTACTGCACACTCCAGCACAGAGATTTCAAGTTTATATACCGATAGAAAAAATAAAATTAGAGATTCCTACGCTACCGTGGTTAAAATGCAAAACCCGGAACAAAATAACCGGAAACCAGAAAAAGAAAAAGACTGTGTAACAGACTATCAAGAATTCAAAGTGGTAGGAAAAAATAATAAAGTTAATAAGAGCCATATGGATAAGCAAAAAAAAGAACCCGTTTTCGGAAACAAAGTCGCTAGCAACAGAAGCTCGATTGCGGGCAAACGTATTATTCGAGAATCATATATATTTGTAGGCGGAGTTTGTAATTCCATATCCGAAGAAGATCTATCAAACTACATGAATAAAGAAATAGGTATTACTCCTTTAGACATAAAGCTTAATAGAGAAAACATGTACAACCGCTCTTTCAAAGTAAAAATTAATAGTACTGAAAAAGGAATGGTACTTAAACCCGATGTTTGGGATAACAACATTATTGTTAAACCGTTTAGAATGCGGCGAGAAGCACTAACAATCGAAAAACCACATCAAAATACCGAAAATCATTTGCCACAATTCTTACACCACTCTTCAGCATTTATGCAACAATAAAAATTGAAATCATAATGGGAGAAAAAGAATTAAATGTAACTAACACAAATATTACGCTATGTGCATATAACTGTCAAAGTTTTAAATCGAATTCATATTATATTTCTAAGTTGTTAAAGTCTTTCGATATTATTTTTATATCAGAACATTGGCTTTTAAATATTGAGAGTTTTTTGTTAAATAACATTGCATTACTAACACACAAAGTTTTTTTTCATGCGGCAGAAAAAAATACACACGGTAGACCATATGGAGGAAATGCTTTTATGGTACGAAAAAAATTGTCGTCTTTTTACATAATACATGAAGATGAAAACATTCTTGCTATTAAAGGCACACTTAACAATCGTAACTTAATTTTTATTGGTGTTTACCTTTCATCTTGTCGTAATAATAACGAATCATACGCAAAATACTCTTCTCAGCTACAAACAATCACTTCAATAATGAACAACTATGAGGATGAAGGAGAATGTATTATTTCCGGAGACTTTCAGTCATTTCCATATAAAATATATGATTCAGAGATTCGTAAAAACAAAACTAGGAACAATTTCTCAAAACATCTCACTAATTTTATTGAATCAAATCAGCTCGCTTTTGTCGATATAATCAACGGTGCTGGGCCTACTTATACCTATCAACATAAAACTCTTTCTAATTCTTCTTACATTGACCATATTGCATCCTATAAACAGACAGAACTATGTTTTACAAACTGTCAAGTTATGCAATCTTCACCGCTTAACCTTAGTGATCACCTTCCGGTGTCTACGAATATTAACTTTGAAGGTACCGGCTTATCACACGAAATAAATAATATAATGCAAAAATATAATTCAATACCAAAACATGCATGGAATAACGAAAGGTTTATTGACTTTTATAATCTCAATCTATCAAAAGCATTTACTAGTTACGCATTTAAGGAAGATAAAATAGAAGAAGAAATTCAAAAAACATGCTTATATATAAAAAATGCAGCTCTCTTGGCAGTTAAACAATGTTTCGGACAAAAAGAATTTTATAAGTACTCGAAACCTTGGTGGACACCTGAGCTTAAAAAAATTAAAGATAATCTCTCCTTTCACTTTAGACAATGGCAAAAATCAGGCTATAATAAGTCAACAGAATGTATATCCTACAAAAGATTTATTTATTCCCGAAAAAACTTTCGTAAAGCTGTAAAAGCGGCACATAACAAAAAAATTCACGAAAAAACTAAAAATATAGAACACTTACGCAATACAAATCCTCAAAGGTTTTGGGGTAATATTCGAAAAATCAAAAAAAATACTAACAATCGACTCTTTACAATTAATAAATTGCAGAACAAAAACGAAATCGTCGAAGAATTTAGTCATCATTTCCAAAAACTACTTAATACACCGCAATATACAAATAACGAGTTCAATCCTCTCCAAATTCCACATTTAAGTAAAGAGCCTAATTCAAAAGTTATCTCGACAGCTGATATTGAAAAATGTATTTTAAAGCTTAAAAATAATAAATCTTACGATTGCTATGAAATCAGTGCTGAACATCTTAAAAACTCTCACAACAAGAATCTTCTTATTTTACTTTCGTCGTTTTATAACAATATGTTAACAAATGGAAAGGTTCCACACGGTTTATCAACCGCCAAAATTATCCCATTAGTCAAGTCTTATAAAACATCACTAGAAAATCCAAATAACTATCGAGGAATCAGCATTATACCAATTTTTACAAAACTTCTCGAATATCTTATCATACACATATGTCCAGATATAACAGAAAGTCATTCCCATCAATTCGGTTTTAAAGAAAACAGCTCTACCCTCCACGCAGAATTTCTTCTGAGTGAAACAATAAAGCACTATAATCATAATAACTCACCGCTATATATATGCAGTCTAGACGCCAACAAAGCTTTTGACAGTTGTAATTGGGAATTACTATTCGAGAAACTCTATTACCAGAAAAAAATCCCATTATCTATAGTTCATACAATATTATCACTATATCAAACAGGAACTTCTAATATATCATATCTTGGATGTACATCAAACAAATTTAGGCTGTCTCAGGGAGTGCGTCAAGGATCCATACTGTCGCCTCATCTCTACAATATCTACACAGAGAACCTTCTAGAGAAAATTGTTTCAGAATCAAAAGTTGGAACTTCAATAAATGGTGTATACACAGGTATCATTGCATATGCTGATGATATAGTTTTACAAAGTTCCACTATATCTGGTCTTCAGAGCCTTATTAACATTGTTCAAAAGTATGGACTATCGAACTTTATTAAACTGAATACAGAAAAAACTGAATTTCTAATATCTGGAATAAGTTCGATTTTAATTAACGTTATTTATATTAACGGTGATCCTATCAAGCCTCAAAACAATCTAAAACATCTTGGTTTCCTTTGGGATAATAAGAACAAAAAAATGACAGCAACACTCCAAAAACAAAATATAACTGAACGTGTAACGCAATTTTTATCTGTTGCAAAAGGTCTTATAAGAAATGGACTTCGCTTTTGCCAGCCTGCTACCATAGTTCATTTATTTAATTCTTTAGCTGTTCCAACGTTGTTATACGGATTAGAACTGTGTGGAAGCAGCAATAAGTTTCTAAATAGCATTGATATAGCTGGACGATCTGTCTTAAAATCCTTCTTTAATATTTCAAAGCAAAGTAGAAATTATCTACATTCTTATTTCAAAGTAGACGCTGTGTCAGACATTCTTTTTCGCAACAAGTTAAATCTATTTATCAGGCTTTTAAACAACCCCATATGTTACTCGATTATACGGACTCAGATGCCTTTAATGAATCAACGATCATTTGTGGGTGAGGTAATGATAATGTGTAAGAAAGCTGATATAAACATGCTCCAATTTATGATCGAGGGTAAGAAAATTATAATTGCACGCCCTCAGGAAGCATTGGAGGCCAATGTTGCGGCGATCTTAAAACAATCGTTCCAACACTGGAATTTAAAGGAACAAAGAGAAATATTTAGAACGCTGATGGAGGAAAACATTCCAAGAACGATGCAAGAAAATACTTAAATGTGCTTTGTTTTTTTTTTAATACTTTTACCTATAGTTTATGTAATTATTGGGTGTTTAAAAGAATAAATATATTATTGTTTTAATTTTTCACACATCTTTTTTTTTTTTTAAACTATCATTTATTTTAAATTAAATTAAAAAGTTTCTATTGTTTAGAATGTCTGCAATCAAGCATGATAATTCAACTCCAATAGAAAACAAAGTTATGTAGTCAACCTTTAGTAAATTTTTAGCAATATTTCATTGTTTTTATTTAATATCAAAGCTGCAGTAACATATTTTAGATTTTTTCAACTAAAAAACAAAGCTTTTTTCTCTGATTTCCTGGATTTCACATAAAAAAAAAAATTCAAACAAAAAATTGCCCTCCCATTTCCTTGCACTATTACGCTTTGATTGCCCTGGTACGCTTTTGAGTGACCCCTCCCCATACTTGCGTACATAATTTTATGGATAGCCCAATGGCAACCAATATCTAACTCTGAATATCGCTCTCAAAGATTTGATGCTGAGTGGGCTTAATTGCGCTCGTTGATAACGTGTTTCAGTATTACGAACACGAAATATTGCGCTAGGCAATTTTATTCATCACATGCAAATAAAAAAAAATTGATACAAGTTGAGCAAAAAAACAGATAAGAATACAACGAAAATAAAAACATTTTTTGATATACAATTTTTCCACGACTTTTTTCAGAGAAAAAAATTAACAAAATTTCTCATAGTTCTAGCATACATAAATTGCATATCAATACTTTCAATTGTTGTTAAATTGTTATAAAAGATAATGTTTTTTTTTCATCAACTTGTATAAAATTGGGTGGCTAAAAACAGCAACCACTTTAAAAAAAAGAATGCAAAAGTTGTATAAAAAATATTAAAATTTTTTTTTTTTTAAATTATTAAATTTTCTAATTTATTTAATTAAACTTGATATTTTGTTACAATTTTATTTCCTTCTTTAAGGATTCTTCTTTTTTTCTTAGCAGATAAGTTTAGCTATTTGCCACAAATTAATCAAGTGCTTTATAAGTTAAAAGATACAAACTGAGTGGTCAGTGTCTCTAAAAAAATTACTTAAAATGTGGACAAACAAGGTATGCGACTGCACGAGCTTCCCGGGAAGACTTGTATTTATACATTTATACATCCTAAAGTATATTTTCTTTATTAAAGATTCATGTTATATTTTGTATATATATGCATATATTCATTATCATGTTCAAAATATAACATTAATGTTATCCAAAATATAACATTAATCTTTAATAAAGAAAATATGCTTTAGGATGTATAAATGTTTATGCAGCCCCAGTTGCAAACCAGAACCTGACCACAGTTATATTTTATCAAACCCGGGCCTAGCCCCTGTCAAATGTCAATCCCAGTCGTTTCCTAACACACGCATACACACACACATGCGCATGAACACACACATGCATGCATATAAATATGAATATATATGTATACATACATTTGTACTATAGCTTATATATATTTTCGTTTTCTAACTTTTTTTGCTGACCTAATTCTGTACAGTTTTTATGTATGAGCAAACTCAAAAAGTCAAATACATGTCTACATGACTATTAAATCTCATTTTGTTAAAATATTAGTTTAAAGACATTTTTCAGTTGAGTATAGCAAGGTATAAAGTGAGAGCATTTTGGTTGTTAGAGCAAGGTATAAAGTGAGAGCATTTTGGTTGTTAGAGCAAGGTATAAAGTGAGAGCATTTTGGTTGTTAGAGCAAGGTATAAAGTGAGAGCATTTTGGTTGTTAGAGCAAGGTATAAAGTGAGAGCATTTTGGAGCAAGAGAGTATTAAAGTAGTAATTATAGAAATGAGAATGATGCAACCTTACAATAATGGAACAGAAGTCTAAGCTTAGCAGCTAGAGCTAGTCCAGATTAATTAATAGAGTTATAGATTAATGGAGTTAGAGAATTATTCTCAGGAGTAAGAAAATGGCAAACATGATAAAGAGGCAAAATTAGTAGATGTTAATATTGCAATAGATTGATTTTTTTCATGAGAGGTTATCAGTGAAAGATGATCAAAGAAGACAAAATATAGGACTAAATAATTGTGTTGCTATTCATCAAGATTGGAGTATCAACATTATTGCGATATAAAAAAAAAGTTGGTAAAATTTCATTACATAGAGTTACACCATTTTCTTATCCATACTGCTATGACCAAGAAATAATTTTTGTTTCTTGCAAAATTAAACAAATTTTCTAACAAAATTTATTTTTATATGACTTGTCTTTTGTTTAAAGTCAATTATTAAGTTATTATAACTATGCTCATGCCATTTTTAGCATGTTCATATTTTACTTTTTTCTGGCAACATGTATGCAAACTAAAAAGTTTGGTAATTATGAGTGGTTCAAAGATATAGTTTTAATTTTTTCACAATTGATACACTCAACTACATTTTTTAGTTGTGTAGTAATTTCTTTAAATTTATATTTTTTTCGCAATTTATTTATATTTTTTTCAAAAGGTTGAGAGTCATGCTGATATGTAGATGACTATTTTTTTTGTTGACATCGCAAAAATTATAAAAACCCTACAGAAAGAGATAAAAAAAAAAAAAAGATAGACCTGAAATTATTTCTTATTTACTTAAAAATATTTTAATATTATTTGTAACATTTTTATACATGTTTACGATTGTTATAAAGATAAAGTATTACTATTATAGTATAAAAGTATGCTTTGACTTGAACAAAATAATGTTTATAATATTTTTTTTTATTCCATTCCTAAAATTACAGCCAAACAATAGACTTTCTTGTGTTTATAGGATGTTAAGATGTTTTCTCTAAGTATGCCATGCACATGTTATGTTTTGACTAATAATCAATTATTTTAATTTTGAAATATTTTAACAGAATTGTACAAATAAAATATTTTATAACTATAATTAGAGTATGGATTTATAGAATCATTTGCAAAATAGTTTGAATTTTTAAATTTTTGATGGTTAAAAAAAAATTTATCTGCTGAAAGTTGATTTATAAATGTCTACTGTTATTAATTATTTGCATTTTTTTTTAGAAAGGTAATGAAAATATTCAAAGTGAAACATTAAAACTAAAAAAGAAAAGAAAAGAAAACACTTTAAAAAATGCAAAAAATTATCCTTTGCGTAATTCTACATATACAGTTGATCATTCACAGAATGAAGGAAAAGAAAAACTTCAAAACAACAGTCTAGCTGATGGTTTGTCCACTAAAGCAACACAGACTACATTTGATATTTCTTTTACAGACACAAATACTTTTATAGATGAAAATAATATGCCTTACTTATTTCACCCTATACCCTCAGTTCCACACAGTTGTTTAGAACCTTCTGCTAATATTAAAATTGAATCTTCTAATAAAACATTAAATAAACTATGCAACACATCCAATAACACAAGCAAATTAATTTCGGTCAAAAAAAATATTACCCCTAATTTTGGAACCTCTTCTATTTCTTCACCTTGTTACCAATCAACTCCTTTAAATCATCTCAAATCTCCTAAGCTATTAAGCCAGTTTAAAGAATTCAAAGAACAAAATGAAAATGATTTGTCTCTTTTAAAACTTTTGTATGACTTTATTAAAGTTAAAAAAAGAAAAAAGCGAAAAATTTCTCAAGGTTCTTTTTATACTGGTTCTTGGACTATCACAGAGAAAGCGAAAAAAATTAAATGTAATGACAATGAAAATAATAAAGACCACAAAACTCATTTGTTGCATTTAGAAACTTTTAAAAAAGAAACAGAACTTAATCATGTATTTGAAAATTTTAGTTCACAACATAATAATATTTCAATCGAAACCTCTAAAAAAAACAATTGTAGTATAGATAATGAATTGATATCCGATTCAAATATACTACAAAATATGTGTAAAATTCAACAGACAACTCATCAAGTTTATAAAAGTGATTCTCTTTTAAAGCACAATGAATCTTTTTCTCAAAAGGATCAAAATTGGTTTTCACATGATGGTATTAAAAGTATTCATGACACATCTCCAAAGACTGATAAATTAGAATTGAATACAAATGTTGTATCAGCTATAAATGAAATGCACGATGTTTCAAAACCTATTATAGTTGCAAACCAAACTTTAGTTAAGACTTTTTCAAAGCCTCAATCTAAACAAAAAGGCTGTGACAGTGTTAAACCAACTAAAATAAATAGTGGTAAAAATGCTCATCCAATGATGTGGAAGAACAAGGATATATATACTAATAATAATTCGCTATTAGGGTTAACAAACAGTGACTCTTTCAATAGGGTTATTGAAAATTTGAATATCAATAAAATGTTAAATGGAAAATCTGAAAGTATAAAAGATGATAATATTGTTCATTATTCAAATGATATTCTGAAAAATGATCGAAAAACGAAAAGAATGAAAAGTATTAATAGTATTGATCAAAACAAAAACAAAATTACTGATCGGGCAAGCATCAATAAACAATATGAATGTGAATTTGATATACAATCCCATGTTAATAAAAAAGATGAAAACAAAACGGATTTACAGTTATGTTTAAATAAAAATGAAGAATATATAATAAGTTCCCATTTCAATATGAAAAAAAAGATGAAATCTCATTTCAATAGACAAGATAAACAAAAACATAGTCATCTAGAGAAACATCCAGATGAAACAATGGTAAATGAGGCAAAGCCTTTTTTTTATATTCAGAAACCACATTTGGATTCTCTAAAATTTATAGAACTAACTGGTAAAATACCTAACCGTGATCAACGTAGCTGCAGTTATTATTGGAATAATCATGATGAAGTAAAATCAAACATGACTATTGATGAAAATCGTAAAATAAATAAATTTAGTGATCCAATTTTAACCAGTTTTTGTACATTTAAAACTGATAAAATAGTAGACAAACAAATTCATAGTTTGAAACTAGAAGGAAGCGCGAATAAACCAGATTTAATCCAAACTGGTACTTTGAATAATGATATTGATAGCTTTCTATTACTTATAATAAACAGTGAATCTATTGAGATTGTTTATGAACTATCAGAGTCAGAACAGTTTAAAAGCTGTTTAAGTGTTCTCCAGACAAATGATATAAGTAAAAAAAATTGTACACAAATAATTAATGATACTTTCTTGGAAAGTAACATTCAAAAGTTAATTTCTCAAGACTTGTGTGAACCTATTTCAGAGTCTCACCCAAAATCATCTCAACTTGAAAACCTAATTCATTTTGTTGAGTCAACCACAAAAGATATTCCAAACAAAGATAGGGAAAACATTTCTATTCAAAAAAGTATAGTTTTAAATGAACTTAGTTGTGATGTTAAAAAAGATAGTTCCAGTGAAAAAGATCATGATTATTCTACAATTAGTGAAAATTTAGATTCAAGTACGACTATTTCTAAAACTATTTCTCCACTTAAATCTAATAACCCATCATACTTATCTTCATATAATAAGCAAGATTTTCCATCAGAGTCTGATTTATACAAAAAATATGAGTTTTATGAATGCCAAGAAATTGACAAGCTCGAGAAAGATGATACAAGCTTCATTGATTTTAAAGTTGAATCTGCTCAGTCAAATGTTCAGAAACTACAATTTGATCACCCAAAAAAGTGTAGAAGTAGTTATATAAAAAATATTAGTCATGATAGCTTCATGATATCATCTTCATCACATCTTCAGAATACTAGCCATGATAGCTTCATGATATCATCTTCATCACATCTTCACAATACTAGTCATGATAGCTTCATGATATCATCTTCATCACATCTTCACAATACTAGTCATGATAGCTTAGCATATGGTGAAAAAAAATCAAGTGTAACTATTAATAAACAAAAGCAAGATGAAAATAAAACTGATATCGAATCTTTTTACAATCAGCAGAATGAAAATAAAATTGATATTCAATCTTGTATCAATCAGCAAGATGAAAATATAACTGATGTCCAATTGTATTTCAATCAGCAAAATGAAAATAAAACTGATATCGAATCTTTTTACAATCAGCAAAATGAAAATAAAACTGATATTCAATCTTGTATTGTTCAGCAAGATGAAAATATAACTGATTTCCAATCTTGTTTCAATCAGGAAAATGAAAATAAAACTGATATAGAATCTTTTTACAATCAGCGAAATGAAAGTAAAACTGATATTCAATCTTGTATTGTTCAGCAAGATGAAAATATAACCGATTTCCAATCTTGTTTCAATCAGCAAAATAAAAATAAAACTAATATCCAACCTTGTTGCAATCAACAGGATGAAAATAAAACAGATATTCAATCTTGTATTGTTCAGCAAGATGAAAATATAACCGATTTCCAATCTTGTTTCAATCAGCAAAATAAAAATAAAACTAATATCCAACCTTGTTGCAATCAACAGGATGAAAATAAAACAGATATCAAATCTATTTTTAATCAGCAAAATGAAAATAAAACTTCTATCCAATTTTGTATCAATCAAAAAAGTGAAAATATAAATGAAATACAATCATTTATTATTCAGCAAAATAAAATTGAAGTTGATATCCAATCTTTTATCAATCAGCAAAATGAATATATAGCTGAAATTCAATCTTGTATTATTCAGCAAAATGAAATTGAAATTGACATCCAACCTTGTTACGATCAGCAAAATGAAAATAAAACTGATATTCAATCTAGTTTCAATCATCAAAATAAAAGTATAACTGACATCCAATTGTATCTCAATCAGAAAAATGAAAATAAAATTGATATCCAATCTTGTTTAAATCAAAAGGATGAAAATAAAACTGATATCCAACCTTGTTGCAGTCAACAGGATGAAAATAAAACAGATATCCAATTGTGTTTCAATCAGCAAAATGAAAGTAGAGACAATATCCAATCTTGTATCAATCAACAAAAGGAAAATATAACTGAAATACAATCTTGTATTATTCAGGAAAATGAAATTGAAATTGATATCCAATCTTGTTCCAATCAGCAAAATGAAAATAAAACTGATATTCAATCTTGTATCAATCAGCTAGATGAAAATATAACTGATGTCCAATTGTGTTTCAATCAGCAAGATGAAAATAAAACTGATATCGAATCTTTTTACAATAAGCAAAATGAAAATAAAATTGATATTCAATCTTGTATCAATCAGCAAAATGAAAATATAACTGATTTTCAACCTTGTTACGATCAGCAAAATGAAAATAAAACTGATATTCAATCTAGTTTCAATCATCAAAATAAAAGTATAACTGATATCCAATTGTATCTCAATCAGAAAAATGAAAATAAAATTGATATCCAATCTTGTTTAAATCAAAAGGATGAAAATAAAACTGATATCCAACCTTGTTGCAATCAACAGGATGAAAATAAAACAGATATCCAATTGTGTTTCAATCAGCAAAATGAAAGTAGAGACAATATCCAATCTTGTATCAATCAACAAAAGGAAAATATAACTGAAATACAATCTTGTATTATTCAGGAAAATGAAATTGAAATTGATATCCAATCTTGTTCCAATCAGCAAAATGAAAATAAAACTGATATTCAATCTTGTATCAATCAGCTAGATGAAAATATAAATGATGTCCAATTGTGTTTCAATCAGCAAGATGAAAATAAAACTGATATCGAATCTTTTTACAATCAGCAAAATGAAAATAAAATTGATATTCAATCTTGTATCAATCAGCAAAATGAAAATATAACTGATTTCCAATCTTGTTTCGATCAACAAAATGAAAATAAAACTGATATTCAATCTTGCATCAATCAGCAAGATGAAAATATAACCAAAATCAAATCTTGTTTCAATCAGCAAAACGAAAATGAAACAGGCATTCAATCTTGTATCAATCAGCAAATTGAAATTAAAATTGATATCCAATCTAGTATCAATCAGGAAAATGAAAATAAAACTGATATTCAATCTTGTATCAATCAGCAAGATGAAAATATAACCGATTTCCAATCTTGTTTCAATCAGCAAAATGAAAATAAAACTATAGAATCTTGTTACAATCAGAAAAATGAAAATAAAATTGATATCCAACCTTGTTGCAATCAAAAGGATGAAAATAAAACAGATATCCAATTATGTTTCAATCAGCAAAATGAAAGTAGAGACAATATCCAATCTTGTATCAATCAACAAAATGAAAATATAACTGAAATACAATCTTGTATTATTCAGCAAAATGAAATTGAAATTGATATCCAATCTTGTTCCAATCAGCAAAATGAAAATAAAACTAACATTCAATCTTGTTTCAATCAACAGGATGAAAAAAAACCTGATATTCAACCTTGTTTCAGCCAACAGGATGAAATTAAAACAGATATCGAATCTTGTTTTAATCAGCAAAATGAAAATAAAATTGATATCCAATCTCATTTCAATCAGCAAAATAAAAATGAAACTAATATTAAATCATGTGTCAATATGGAAACAAGCCATTTCAATAAAAAAGATAAAAGTAAATACAATATTAAGTCATATTTCAATAAGCTAGATACAAATAAAATTTGTATCCCAACTAGTAACAACATGCATGTTGAAAATGAGTTAGACAACCGATTATGTTTTATTAAAAAAAAAAGGAAAATCAATATCCAAACTAGTCTTAATATGCAAGATAAAAGTAAAATGGATAAACAGTCATTGTTTAATAAAGATAAAAACAAGGTTGTAAACAAATCGCGTTTCAATAATCTGGGAGAAAATTTGATAAAATTTGATAACGAAAAAGTTGGTAAAATGATAAATGTAGAAAATAAAATAAATAGCCAATTATGTTTTAATAAGGAAGATGATTTATGTGGTGACTCTAATTTTGGGCTAAACAAAGCTTTGTGTACTGACTCTGATATTAAAGTTAATAATGATCTGTGTGCTGACCCTTGTATGAATGTTAACAATGATTTGTGTGCTGATTCTAATATGGGTGTTAACAATGATCTGTGCCAAGCTATTTCTGAATGTCATTTAGAATCATTATCAGACCCAAATATTCATATTTTTGAATCTGATTTTCTGAAGAAAAAGCCTAAAAGCAGTGACTTTGATGATCACAAGAATGTTTTAAAATCAACAAATCCTAAACTAATAGTTGATAATCACTTGGATAATCAAGGTAATCATTTGAATAATCAAGACTTTAGTAATCGAATCAATCACTTGGATAATCAAGATAATCATCTAGCTAATCAAGGAAACCACTCAGATAATCTAATTGATCACTTTGGTTATCTAGTTTCTAATCAAGATTGTTCATTGAACAATTTAGGGGTTGTATTCGAAAGATATCAATTACATGAGAACAACAAAAATGAGAAAACTGAAGACCAAGCTTTTGATTTTATTGATTTTCAAATAGAATCAGCTCAAGAAAAACCCCAAGATAATTCTAGCTCAGTTGTACCAATCACGCAAGAATCATCAGAAGAAAATAGAAAAATTTCTGAAAGAAAAGTGAATCATGAATCGGTACGATAAAAATATTTCAGTAAAATGTTTTATTAGAAATTTAAAATATTTTATTTCTTTTTTTATTTTAAATTTAAATCAAATAACTAGAATTTCAAAAGTTTGAAGATTTTAAAATTAAGCAAATTTTTATATGTTGCTGTTGCAGTATTGTTGATTACATAATTAATGTTACATTTGATACAGGAAAATAGTGAAAATTTTTTGCTTGAAGAGTTATCTTCTGGAACAAAACACAAAGAATTATTATCTTTACAAGAAAATATTCATTTGCTATTGAATCTTTCAAATAGCAGCTTTAGTTTTCAAAAAGACTTTAGCCAAGAAGATGGTTCAAAGGAACTTCAAGAAGCTAATGATATACAAACTGCACTCCAAGACCTCTTCATGTCAGCTATAAAGACACCCGAGGTAAGTATTTGTTTTTCGACTATTATGAAGTTGAATTTTTATTTCATATTTCATGGTGATTTTTACAATTTTTTTCTAAATCAGCTAAAATGTTTGTTAGAGTTTTTTTGATTGTTGGTTTAAAGATGTTCAAAAATATAAAATGGTATGCTATTTTAATGGTTGCAACCAAAGTTTTAACTGTCCAAATTTGTTTATAAAACATATGGCTCGTTGTAATTGTGGAAATAACCAACTTTGGAAAATGCTTGGGTCAAAAGTTGTATCCTGCATTGAATGTAATGAATCTCTTGAGCTGAAGAAATATGGCAAACATTATTCTACCTCACATGGGCTGGTAAGCAGTTTATTTTTTTTGGTGCTATAACGTTTATTAGTTAAAGAATAAAAATTTAAAAACCTCGATTGAAAATCATGAGATGATTAAAAGTTGTGCTTAATTTGTTAACCAAATTTAGATGTTTTCTTTTTTTCGATAGGATTTAGTCATTAATCTTCAAGATATGCATTTAAAAGATAAAAAAATATACTTTACTTACCGCAAATCTTCCAGTTCTTTTTCCTATTTTTTTATTTCTAGCTCTCTATTTCAAAATCTCCAATTATGATCATTTAAAAAGGAATTTTGCCAAAATTATACAGTATAAAAATTATCTGTGATAATTTTTATGCTGTATTATTTTGTATAATAAAGCAAGAAGTACTTCTTTTAAGTTTTCTAAACTTTTAATAAGGATGCAAGACAGTTCTTGTCCTTGCATCAGTATTATGTATGACATAGAAGGTAGTCCGGACCCATAAAATATGGGTCGAAGTCTGTTCAACACCAACCATTCCTATACTTATTCTTTATTTCAATATTTTTTAGTAAGCGATGGTATGCAAAGTATGTAAGAAAAAACTAGTATGGTAGATAAACTATATATCTACCTTTTAAATAATTTATAGTATATCAACCTAAACAATTTAAAACGCTTCGGTAGTCTGTCAAAAACTGTTATTTATCAGCAGTTCAGATATTAGTACCCAAAGCGGGTATTTAAATAATATTTTGAATACCTGCTTGAAATGTTTTGATTAATTACAATCAATATAAAAAGTTTAAAAAACATTTGGAATTAGATTAATAAAAATATGTGAAATAATGAACCATAATTCGTTTAATACAAGTTATGGTAACATTATTCGACACCAACCATTTCTATATTTCTTTACTTATTCTTTATATAGTTGTTTTATTTTTAATAATTTTCAGTAAACAGTAGAAAATTCTAAAAATTTCAATAATTTTTTTAAGTGGTATAAAAATCTGTCAATTCTTTGTTTTGAGTTAACGATTAATGTTCAATATTTTATAACTTATAGTTTTATGTTAACGATTAATGTTCAATATTTTATAACTTCTTATTATAAAATTGTAAACTTCTATAAAAAAAAACAGGTGCAGACTTATAAATTGTTATCTTTATCAAGTTTCTATTAAGTTTTTGTTAATTTTTATTCCAGACCATCTGCAGCTTATTAGGACCCTCGCCCCGTTAATTAAATTTGAAGAAAATAAAAGTTTGAATGTAAAAACTTTTTTTTTTAAATGTTGTCTCTTTAATGTGTGTTAAACGTGCTAACTTAACTAATTACCTTATCACATTAATAACTTAAGTATCTCTATTGTGACCTTTGCGCAAAAAATTTCTACCACTGTTTTGAGGTTTATTGAAATTTTAAGCTTTTTTAAAATCTCATTACCTATATATATATATATATATATATATATATATATATATATATATATATATATATATATATATATATATATATATATATATATATATATATATATATATATATATATATATATATATTATATATATATATATATATATATATATATATATATATATATATATATATATATATATATATATATATATATATATATATATATATATATATATATATATATATATATATATATATATGTTATATTATGTATATAACATCAATAGAACTTCAAAAATGTTTCATTTTCTATTTGAAAAAAATCGAAAAAGCACATGGATTTGAACTACGGCTTTTCACTTCATGCTACTTAACCTCTTTGGCTACTATTTAATAAACATTTATAAAACAGTAAATAAATGCTATAAATCAAAATTAAGGAAATGTTGAAATTAAGGAAATGTCGACGCATTTCAATTTTAAAGTAAAAGTAAAACTATAAAACTTGATATATATTTTTAACATTACATAATTTGAAATTTACATAAGTTAGATATTTAAATTAAATAAATTAGATAAACTTTAGTTGACATTTTCTTATACAAAAAAAGCTGCAACTCTTTCTCACCATTAATTTGGATGTAATGGCTGCTACCAGTTCTGTGCAAACACGCATAAATAAGTAGCAGCAACAGCAGCATGAGCAGCAGCATTATATTCAATATTAAAATACTAAGGGATTGTTATCAAACTTTCAAACAAGCTTTTAAGCCTAAAATTATGTACTAAGTATTTAATATAAAAACATGCTGAAGATATTTAGTAGTAGTAAATCCAAAACTTTTTAATTGAAAGTGGTATGTATCCAAAACTTTTTAAGAGTAAATAATCATTGCAAGGACAGTTGTAATTCAGTCTTCTTTAGGATTTAGTAATAAAAATAATTCTATATTAACAGAGTTAAGATTTTTTTAAAAGGTTCAGTTTCTACCTGTTATGTGTTAAATCTTGTGATACCTAATTTAAATCTAGTCATTAATAACTTGAGTATTATTTTGTAATTTTTGTTAATTGTATGATTTGTTTTTTTTTAGCTCTTGTCTTATTTAAAGTCATTGAATAAAACTAACAAACCAAAATGTAATAACTACACTTGTAAAATGATTATGAAAACTGTTTGTAGCTGTGTTGAGCATTATAGAAAGTGTAAGTATTTGTGGAAATGCAATGAGTGTCACACTGTTTATGACAGTAAGAATAATGCTACACTTCATAAGAAAACTTGTGGTCCAGCATAAGTTTTGTTTTTTGTTGCTCACTCTCGATGGTTACTATTCATTGCTCACAGTATAAAATAATGGTGATAAAACCGTTTAAAAAAAAATAGTGTCACAGTACTAAAGTTTACACACAATACTAAAGTTTACACATGAAAATCATGGTTTTCCAAATGCTTCAACAGCAGACTGTTGTTTTTCAATTAGCTTTGAATTTTTTTCAAATACTATTGTTTCCTATTTATTATTGTGATTTTTTAGCCATCAATCTTATGTAATATTAAAAGTATATTTTTAACATAAATTTATTATTATGACAGTAAAAATATAATGTCTGTCAAAGAAGTTGAGTTTTTAGTAATTTATATTTTTTTCAAAGAATATTTAATTCAAATTATTTATTGATATATTTTTATATTATGAAGTTGTAGCTATTTAAGTTATTTTTTGTTTTAATTTTCTTTAGTTAATTAAATCTTTAAAAAGATTTTAAGTTTATATTGCTAAGTTTTAACATAATTTATTTCATATATTTATATTTTTATAAATATATTTCATATATTTTGCAACACATTAATGTAATAAAAAGTATGCATACATATTTTTTATTAGAAAAAAATAACAGCATTTTGTGATGTATTTATAATTTAAGATCATAAAAGAAACAGTTGCTATGAACACAGTGCATTTGTTCAATTGGCTTGAAAGACTTTTTAAATTTAGTATTAATATGGTTGTATTGTTAACTGGTTTTCATTGTAAGTGTACTACTATGTTTCAAAGATAAGAAAGATTTTAACTTTTGAATTTTAAACTTTTTAAATGCTTGCTAAATTATTCAGTACTTTTATATTCATGTTTTTATCCTTTATTTTAGACAATTGTAAAATCTTTGTTTAATACTATTAATAAAGTTATAATACCAAAAGTTTATTTATAAGAAACAGTATGTCTAAATTAAACTGCAATATTTCTAATGTGAAAACAGAAAATAATGAAGAGAATTTATCTTGTATTGGACAAAAGCAGAACTTATATTCAACTCCAAATTTTGATAATAAAAACAGTAAAAAATTACGGATAAAAAGGTATTCTCCGATAAAAAGCAGTCCTGAATCGATTAGTATGATGATTTTTATTGCTAGACCGGACATTTTACCAATTAGTGCAAATTTTACTACTGAGAAAGTAAAAAATAAAATAACTCTAGACATGATTCGTGATAATATCTCCATTCCTATTGAAGTTTCAAGTCTTCAAGATGATGACGAAAGTTCTGTTATGCTGCATCACCATAGTGAACACAATAATGGAAGTTTGTTAGATTTTTTCTCAGTTACTGTAAATGAGGCAGAGGATATTCCTATTGAAGTAATAAAAAATTCTGGTAAACAATCATTAGAAATCGATTTTACATCCAAGATTACAGAAGAAGAAAAAGATGTACGTAATTCTTTGTCTTAATATTTAGTAGCATGTTTTTAAAATTTTTAAAACTGTTTAATATTTTATATAACCATTATATATTTTTATTTTTTTAATTTAAAATTTAAGTTTATAAAGTATAATAAATACTTATATTTATTATATAAATTGTCATACAAAATAAAAATAAATATTTGATGTGATTGTTTAAAATTTAATAAATATTTGATATGTTTGTTAAAAATGAATAAAGATTTGATGTGATTGCTAAAAATTTGTTATTTGTTTTATATGGTAGCCTATTGTTGTTTTGGAAAAATCATTATCTAAGTACGATTTTACCTGTCCACGACAAGACTGTAAGGAGAAGTTTTTACGATTATCTCGGTTGTTTACTCACATGGAAAACTGCATTGATAAAGTTTTATTAGCAGATATGAAGTCAACACTTATTAAATGTCCTGAATGTCAACACAAATTTTGTTTGAAAGACCTTCTGTCACATTTTTCGAAGAAACACCTTCTGGTATTTCTTTTCCCATATTTTGTATTGATTTTTGTGCATTGTATGTCATTAATTTTAATTTTTTTAATTTTAGCTCAATTGGTATTTCGGTCAAGTAGACCAAGGTAATTGGGCTATATGTCAAAATTACAAATGTGGAAAGTACATGGATCAAGTGGATGACATTGTTGAACATTTCCGCTCATGTGACTATTTATGGCAGTGTAAACATTGTTTTATTGAATTTCAATCAGAATATAAAGTTCGAAAGCATTGCTGTCAGCCAACCCAAAAAGAATATCCTGAACCAAAAAAGTCAAACAAAATAGAACAAGACCCTTGCAAAAATAAATACTTAGCTGCTAAAATAAAAGCACTACAAGCTAAGCTAGGCAAAAAAAAGTACAAAAAATTAAATAAATCAACTGAGGTAGTTATAAAAAAAGAATCTAACAAATCATTAGACATTTCATTAAATAAAGAACAATCATCTGAAGTTTTTTCTAAAGCATCAGATATATGTGAAGTTTCTACGAATACTGAAACTAATCAATCATATGAAGTTTCTGTTAATGAAAAATCCAATGAACTTAATCAAGATTGCACTGAATTAATTAACATCAAAAAATCATATGTTTTAAACAATCAACAACATACTAAAAAGCCAAAAAAAAAAGAAATAAACACATTCAATAAAACTATTAGTAAAATTGAGGATGAACATATCTGCACGAATAATTTAGTTGAAATAAACAATATATTACCAAAAGAAATTTCATCGGAATTTATTGGTCAAATAAGCCATAACCATACAAATAATTTAAAAGACATAAATAATGTAATCGAAAAAGAACCTTCATTTGAAATTGTTGTGAAAAATAAAAATTTTAAAAAGAAAAAAGAAAAATCAACAATTTCTTGTGACACACAG